TTGCCATGAACTTTCAGTGACACCAGCAGTGTTGGTTCCCACTGCAGTAAGCTCATAGTTGTTCAGTGTATACTTAAATGTATGCGTTCTGGTCACAAAAATAATTGGCAAGGATGTTTTGGGCTTGTTTTTCTTCATGGGAGGAGAGAGGAAGAACTCATAATATTCTTGATCAGAGGTCGAGATAGTGTTCGTTGTAATGGCACACAAAGCTTGTGCTGGTTTTAATCAGCTTTGTCTTTTTTATATTTCAAGGCACAGTGTAGAAGCCTTTAGGTTTAAAAAGTGACATAACTACAAATGATGTGCAGTTGCTTAGAACCAGGATTCGCTCAAAGTTGAGGGGAAAATCCTTGGTAAATCTCATGGTGGAAGGAATTCACTCGTGCAAAAGGCAGAATTTGTCTTGGCTACAGTGGTGTGAATACTGAATAAACCTCAGAGACATAAAAGATAAGGCTCCAGATTTTGAGCAGTGTAGCTGAGATGTTGTCTATTCCAGAATGTCAGATGACTAAACCTCTGCAAAATGTTTCTTTCTGAATTATTTAAATTACTGACTTAGTCTACTGGAAGAAAAAGAAATAGTAGCAGGCAGACATTCAAGAGGTGAGATTTTTTTCTGTAGGATTAAGCGATGTTCTTGCTGGTTTTGATAGCAAAACTGACTGGGAGAAGAGGTAGAGCAAGTCTTTATGGTGCAACTTCTGATCACACTACGGAGACTCCTTAGCACGCAGGCAGTAATGGTAATCCCTTTTCGTGCATGTGTTTGCTTTTGGCAAACAGAGTGCTGTGATGCAGACAGGCTTCTCGTTTGTGAGGGGCTGTGTTTAAACAGAGCGTAAAAATTAAGAGAGAAATGACTTGCCAGAGTACTTTGCGACCCTCTGTGTTTTCTGGTTTTTCATAGTTAGTAATTTCCTGTAATACCTGGCTCTGGTGTGTGCAAGCTGTGCCTCGTGGTGTCCACCTCAAGTCTGTGCCTACCGCAAATCCATCTCCACCAGTGGAGCCCACCTCCTCTTTCAGGAGCAGTGCCATTGTGTCAGCATGGAAAATTCCAGAAAAAAAAACATCCCAAACCAGCATTCTTTCTTTGCCTTTCTTTTGCTTTGCTTTATTTTTCGGTCTGCTGGGGGCAGCACTGATGAAGTGAGCCTTTTGGCAAGGCCACTGGAGTGAGGAGCGGGGAAATGGCTCTGTGGGCCAGGACTGAGGGAATATTGCGTGCGAAGGCGGGGGCAATGTTACGAAGATGTTACTGAGTCATTCAGATAATAAAGCAGTGGGTTTAGGTTAGGCTGAGGTAGAACTATGTTGGGTCTCTGAATGAAAGCCAGATGATGAAACTGGATATGGCAAAAAGCAACGCGCTAGCGAGGAGCCTCGGAAAGAGCATTGCCAGAGGGGAAAGGTGGAGAAGGCAGTTTTCTTGCTGTTGTAGAATTTGTATTCTGCTACGGCAGTAACATTGTGTATTTGTACGCTGCCTTGCTGAAAACATGCTTCTCTGCCAGCCTTTCCACTCCAGGTATTTGGATGCTTCATCTTAGAGAAATGTGTCTTCTTGAATTTTGGGGAGCTTCTTGCTGTTCAGACTTCTGAAGCACGATTGGAGTGTTTTTCCTTTGACTACTGATGGAGGGAACGATCAGTCTGGCCTCCCCAGCACGACGAGAAGCAGTGAGGCCGTTAGCATGTGGGCTACAGGAACATCTCTGCTCAGCCCCGCAGCGGGGCAGCGTGCCCCAGCAGAGCCCGCCGGTTTCTGTGTGCGTAGCACCATCCAAGCGGAGCTCAGCGAGCCAGCTCTCTCGGAGCTCTCTTCAGAGTTACTGCAAATACTTGGCCAAGTCACGCAGTTGTTACGCCTGGAACAGGTCATAGATTAGATGCGAAGGTGCTTAATTTTTATTGGGTTTGTTTTTTTCATTATAAAAAGTAAATATTGAAAAATATTATTGTGAAACACCAACTGAGTTTAAAAAAAAAGAAAAAGACAAAGCAAGCTATATCTTGATCGAGATATAATGCTGCGATGTGCTTCCCCTTCAGCGCGCTGCTGTACCCTGACCAGCCACACCAAGGAGCCAGCGGCGACTCGGGTCGCAGTTTGGTTTTGCCCACCTCACATGGAGCTCAGGGCCAGGGACTCCAGCTCAGCGTGGGAACGGGTCCGCAAAGCTCAGCCTTACAGTACTTAATTAAAATACCTCGTCTAGGGGCTGTTTATTATGGCAGCACCAACCTGTGCCTTGTGCTTTTTGCTTTTCCTTTTTTTTTTTGTGTCCTTCCCCCTCTGATGTGTCGCGCGCAATCAGTGAGGCACCACATGGGTTGCTGCTCTTAGATACTGACAACTGAGGAAATTAAATTCTGAGGCAGAATCAGTTAAAAGCCTGACTAAAGCAGCGTTGTTTTTCTATGGCAACTGAAACAACATAATTATTTAAAGGATAAATTTTTATTGCTAATGAATTTTTTCAAGACAGTAAGTTTTTTGCATTTTGTTTGTACCACGACTCTCTTAAATACATTTTGGGATTTTTAGGTTTTTTCGTAAAGGGAGTACGAGCAATTGAGTTCAGTAGGACACTTAGATAAAAGCAGTTCCAGCCTTGTATGAAGCAGTATGCCTTGGGGGTACTTGGCACCATTAGTGTTACTGTTCTGTGCAAGAAGAAATACATATTTATATGGTTATTCAAACTTGAAAAAACTCAGCATATTTGTAAAATCCATAGTGACAAGACTGTATTTATAAACTTAAGACAACAGAGCATTTGCTTATACTGTTCAAACTACACTAGGCAAAATCTTGAATTTTTGTTCAGGTAAGATAATTAAAAGAAAACCAGAAGGATGATCTGACCTCACAGACACTTATGCACACGTTTTGGTTTCTTCTGTCTCTCTCCTTCAGTGTGTTTATCTGTAAGTGAAGCATGGGCAAAAAGTTGTTACTGAATTGGATCCTACTCTACAAAGTTATTAGAAAAATTAAAAGGGTGTAACATAGTGCATAGAGTGCTGATTGTTATTTTATAGAAACAGGATCCTTGCTATCACTAAAAGTAGCGATGTCCTTAGTAGATGTCGTACAATCTCAGGTGATGGGTTTTTCTGGAGGACAAATCCTGTTTGGGAAGAAATGAGTCCTCTCTTCAGGGGCTCAGAAGGGGGGTAATTATAATAGCAGCAATTGTTGGTGTCGGTGTTCAGAATTCTTTTATTTCTTCTCATCCTAAGAGTGTTTACATGTATTTACAATCGGGTTTTCTGTTGCATTCACTAAAAAAAAGGAAAAATGCACTGAGCTAAAAAGTTTGAAAGGAACAGCTCGAGGAATTTTTTCCATCAAGATACAATCAAGGGCAGGAAACCGTAGAAGCAGAGTTGTGGTTTTACCTCCATTTTTTTTTTATTAGTTAATTAAACTGCAACAACTCTTAACTTCATTTTAGGTTAGCTGTTCCTAGAGTTCAGAAATATTTGAAGAGGTCAATAATGCTTTCCTTGGCTTGCGCTCGTTCTGTGTGGGATGAGGAGTCACAGTCGGGAGGGCAGAGTTTTCCAGACGTGCTGCAGAGCGGGTGTGCGTGCGCTCGGGTCGACGGTGGGAAACGTCCGTCTCTCCTCGGGGCAGACGCGTGGACACCCCGACATCGGCACGCGACCCCACGGCCCCTGAGTGACGCTCAGAGCTACCAGCTCAGCTCAGTCGGTGATGGAGAGGACTGGAGTGAGAGTGCTGGGGGAGCGGGAATCCGAAGGGAAAAATTTGAGATGATCGGTGTGTGTTTAGTTTCACCAGAAGGTAAAAAAAAATAAAGCCCAACAGCTAAGACCCCGTTGTGCGCTGTGGGATTTCTCGGAGAAATCAGGCTGTTCCTTTCATAAAGTGCCGCGAGGCATCTGTCTGCGTTCTCTTCTAGAGCGCTTGGGGGGCATGTGAGGGGAGGGAATGGAGCCCTGCAAGTGTCACAGAACTGTCTTTAATAACGGGAGCCATTCCAGCGCTCGGAGCCAAATCGTCTTTCAGCAGAAAGGATAAAATTTAGCAGAGCTGGGAAAGAAAAAGAAGAAAGGGGAGGGGAAATACAGCACCACCTCCTGCTGACACCACAGAAGTTTCCCTCGGCTTTCCCTCTCTCTCCCTCTGTGCATATATTTTCTTTTTAATCAGCTGGGGCTCTTCCCTCCCCTGCGCTGTTTTTTTTTTTTAACTGTATTTTTATAGTTGGAATTCTGCTTTCCTAATTTCTCTTGTTTCACATTTAACTTCTTCAGAGGATTTAATTAATAGTTATTGCAATTAAAAATAATAAATAAACTCGGCACCAGCTGCTCAAATGACTGTCGTAGCATATCTGGAACATAATGCGGTCTGTTCGGGGCAGCCACACAATGCAATTTATCCCCACACCTGAGGGAATGAATTTCACAACTATAATTGCTACAATATAATTCTTATTAATGTTGTGCTATAATTCCTATTAATTCCAAAGGGCTAGTAAATGCATTAGGACTTGTCAACATATTATTTTACACTGTTTATGATCTGTAGAATTACACTCTTCAGTATTGTGTTGCATAAAGAAAAGCCTTAAAATTAGCTTTAATTGCGGGGGTGGGAGGGGAACCACATTTTCTGGTCAGGCGCTGGGAAAGACGGAAGGATCCTGGTGATGGCGGGGTAATGAAAACTGCATTTTAAAATCCGTCCTTTGAACTTTCTCTGCCATGCAGTTAACAGTTTATGAAGATATATTAATAATGCCTGTCCTCGTTATTAGAAAAAAAGCCACTGGTGTCTTCATGAAGGAATAAATAACTATAAGAAAGATAGGATTATAAAATCAAAAAAAAGCCTGTCTTGCAGCAAAGACAAAAGTGGGAAATTACAAGTCATTGTAACTGATGTAATAAATGCAGAGTGTGTTATCTCGCTGTGCTCTTATTTATTCTTGTTTTATCTCACTACCCCGCGTTTCTAGGTAGTGAATATGATGAGGAGGAAGTAGACTATGAAGAATCAGACAGTGACGAGTCCTGGACGACAGAAAGTGCTATCAGCTCTGAAGCTATCCTCAGTTCAATGTGCATGAATGGAGGGGATGAGAAACCTTTTGCCTGTCCTGTTCCTGGATGTAAAAAAAGATATAAGGTAAGCAGGAGTGCAGACCTACCTATTTTTTTTTCTGCTGGTATAGTGAGGGGATGAAAAAACGCTCTAAAATAAATTTGTACCTTTTTTGTTTAATAGAATTTTCACGTTTATTTTTGTGGTATTTTGGCAGAGCACGTTTTGTTCACTGTTTTTCTCAAGCACGGCCAAGTTATCAGTTCTACAAAGGATGCAGTCTTTTGCATCCCTGTCTGTCACGAGAGATTACACATAGTGACTCTTTTACTTTACACATTTTAAGTAGCTTTCTATTATTTAGACAAATTAACTGCAGAATGGAGGAGGTACCACCAGCAAAATAATCTCTAGGGTCCCTTTCAGGGACACTAAATAAAAAGCTTCTGGCCATTGGTGCCAGAATGAATTTGTTTGCCTAACTGCTAGAGATGCTGCCTCTCCTTTAGTGAGAACGGGCCCAGGGTACTTTTGCTAGTAAAGGTGATGTGCAGGAGGTGGTGGTTCATGTTTTGCAAGTCAGAGGTCACCTCAGGAAGGCAGAGCCTTGGAGAAGTTCTGACATTGTTCTGTCCTGGGTCCGAGGCCCCACGACCCATCTGCACAGCTCCTCAGGTGCAGGGTTTGCCTCTCTCCGTGTGACACGCTGGGAAACAATCCACCCCGTTTTAATTACTCTCCATCATGAGAGATTCTGGTCTGTTTCTGGGAGTGAAGCGTTTTTAACTTTGAACTGTGAGCAGGCTGGTGTAGAACATGCCGTGATGTGGTGAGGACAGGAGTATTGCTTCACGTGAACACATGCAGAGACAGATGAAATTGCACTGAACAGCTTGGACTTCAGTGTGGTATTTTATAGTCATTGACGTGTGGGAACAGAAATAGCGTGTTGGCACAGTTCCTCTAAATCATTTTCAAGTTTTTGCATGAAGTACTGGAAAATTCGACCACTGACCTATACCCCAGAAAAAGCAGTGGTGGTTGTATTGGTAGTTTTATTTTATGGCTTCTCCTTCCAATAACTGAAAAGTAGAGACTTAAAAGAGAACAGAAATATGAAAGAGAAATATAGGAAAACCAATAACATTTGAGATAAAGCAGTTGTTACAGGAATGAATAAACTGTGCGTGAAACTGCATAGTGGACAAAAACATGTTTTCAGTGATGCTGCAGCTGTTGTGGACTTGCAGCAGCTCCCAGAGCAGCAATCCCAAGACTCAGGTTCGTGTACGGATCAGTTAATATTGACAATACTGAAAACTGGAGCAAGAAAGCAGTGTGCTCATTTCTTAGGGACATACAAATCTTTTTTGTAGAGATGAGTTATTCTCCTCACTTACAGGAAAAGCCAAGCACCCTCTCCAGGGGCAGGGCAAAGGGAAAGGTGTTCTCAGACTTTGCAAATAGTACTTTGCAGATAAACCGTTATTACTTCTCTTGTGTGTGGTGGAAGCTGTGCCAGATGAAGGCTATAGTATAAAAGCTAAATCCCTGGCTCAGGAAGCAAACTCGCCGTGGTGATTGTTAGAAGTCGCTGTGCCCACAGGGCATCTATGCACTGCAGAAAACATTCGCTTAATGGCAAAGGCTGGAAGGAGAACCCTGTAATTTGCTATATCCTGTCTGTTCTCTGTTTGACTGCCAGCCCTCTGTCTTTTTATTGCCCAAATAAGCAAGCTGTTTCTGCCTGCTTCTACTATCTCACTACCTTCATCTCAAATGCATGGGGACTGTCTACGGGATATCTCGTACGCCATTAATGCTGAACAGTCGGACGGGGAACAAATTAACGACCCTTGGAGAGGCTGACAGACAGAGAGCAGCAGCAAATAAAAAGTACTGTATTTTCCTAGGAGACTCACCTCTGTTTAGTCCTGATAGGAAAACACATTTCCTTCAGCTCTGCCTCACCTCATTTCTCTTTTCTGTGGGCTCTGTTTCCTCCCTTTTTTCTTTTCAGCCTATTTTTTTTTCTTTTTACATTTTTATCTTTGTTTCCTTCCTTTTAGCTTCGTGTCAGCTGTGTTTCTTGTTTCCTCTTCGTCTTCCTTCTGCTTAACCCCCTCCTATGATGAATTATTTGTGGAGTCTGGGTAGGGAGCCCAGTGATCAAAGTGCTGGGATTTTCTGGTGGGTACTGGATAATCACAGCCAGGGCTGTAAAACAATTATAGTGCTCCAAACAGGAACAGGGACATGCACATACAGTAATTGCCAGGCTCACTTTACGGCTGAGAAAGGATGCATTCCTTTAGGGAGCGAGGAGGAAAGAAGGATATACATACACAGTTTTCTTTTGTCTGGCCTTAGGTGACGTAGGTTTGAGAAGCAGAAGTGTTATTTTTAGGTATGTTGTTTGTATTACAGCACCGCTTAAAGGACCCAGTAGGGACGGGGCTCCTTTTTGCAAACAATGTACGAGGATAAAAGATGGCCTCTGCACTGAAAAGTCATTATGGAAAGGTAAATAAGACAAGAATGAGTACAACAAATACTCCCCAGGAATGGGCTGGGGCGCACAATGGAAACTGTGCTGAGAACATGTTTATGCACAAGCCCAGATGAGTATCAGAAGCCCCTGCTGGCCTCCTGCCCGGCTGCTATCTCTTGGCAGTTTCCCATGGGCAGCGCGGCAGAAGTGAGTCAGAAACTTTTAGTTGTTCTTCAGGAGTTTTATTCTTTTAAGAAATGAAATTGCTCGCTTATAATATGATATTGGTACTCTGTACAGTATGGCAAAGGAGACAAAGATTCTGGGGGGAAAAGAAACTTTTTTTTAATGATAAATAAATTTGTTTGTGGAATAGTTAGAAACAGCTACGTGAAGGTGGAGCACACTGACTTCCAGATGCTTAAGACTCAAGCCTCTCAACTAATTTCTGAAGCTTGCTTTCCTCTTCTCTAATTGTGGTTACTGACCTAGAGAACACATCACAATTATTTTATAGTTTGCCATTTATGGATTTTTTTTTCTTCATATCATCTGTATCCCTTGAATTTGATTTTTAGTAAATCATCTGCATGATTCAAAGGAACCCAAAGGCCTTGGCCTCGTTTCTATAGGGTTCATCCTCAGCAGATTTTGGATTTACATCCACGTTTAGATGCCTTGCCCAGAAGTGTGTGCGTGTTGAGTAGTTAATGTGCTTTGCAAAATGCCACCTGTAGGAGCTAAAGTGTGGATTTACAAAGGTGATCATTAGTTTTCCGTGTACTCAGTACCACCTACCACCTATGTATGGTATTTATTTTGTCTTTAGCTCTGGAGAAGGACGTTCAAGCTGCTTATATGATGTAGATAAACTTCCTCTGGTAACTTCCAAAGAGCAAATGAAGCTTGATAGATAATAGATAGGAAAAAAACCCACAAGAAATGCTTATATACTTATATAGAGAAAACCTTGGACTATTTGCCAGTATTTTTCTAGTTTGTGCAAATATGATAATAATTGTAGATTTCCATGCATGCAAAATGTGGCTTATATGCACGACTGCTTTTTGACCTTGAGCAAGAGGCAAAGTGGGACCTTGCAAGAATGCCAAGGCCTTGGGCTTCACTTTCTGTCAGGGAACAGAATGGGGGTCCCAGGCCTGTCAGGTGGGGCAGAGCCCCTGGAAGGCTGATCCCAGAGCAGTGAGACTCGTCTGAGCTCAGCGAGGGAGAACATTGAAGTGAGAGAAGGAGAGAAGGGAATTGAAAGACAGGAGCAAGACAGAGCTTGCAAGTTGAGCAAAGAGGAACTGGACCCACAAAGAAAACTTCAGGAGGAACAGCCAGGTGATGCAGAAATATGTATGAATGTCCAAGTCTGAACCAAGAAATCCTTCCCAAACCATCCTTCACGTCTCTTTTCCTACTTGAGGGGGGTGGCAAGCTCTCCCCAGCAGTCTGCCGGCAAGGGGCCCTGCCCAGCAAGTGCCCTAGTGTCCGTGCAAACCAGATAATGCTGGGCAAAACTTCCCTATCTCCTCCTGATCTGGTCCCAGGTTAATAATTGTTTCATCCTGTTTAAATTTTTAGAGTGCCCTTCCATACCACCATCCTCTTCCTCAATCATTTGTGAGAGTAAATAATGAGCAACCTAAGTAACCAGAGCAATAAAAGTGATGTATGCGTTTGGCAGTGGGCTTTGCCGTACCTCAACAAACTCAGCCCAGACATACAACAAAGTGTTTACATTACAGCAGTGGAAAAAGTGCTGAAGAGTTGACTGTAATTCTAACAACAGTTTTCTTTTAGACAAGAGTGCAGGTCAAATTTCATGTCATACTTGCTCCTCGTGCTTGGTGTGCTTTACTGTTTTTCAAAACTTCCATGGCCCAATTCATTCCATGTCGGTTTCTGGTCAAGCATTTCCTTAAATTTTTCTGCCTGAAAGTACTTTTCCCCCTTCATCAAGTGTACATGAGGCTGTGTGGATCATTAAAATACCTGTATCAGGAGAAGAGTACCATTGGCACGGAGTGGTGAGGATATTTGTGACTGCAGATTTACAGTATCTGTATCTGTAGCATTTGAAGCATTTGAGTATCTTAAAGTGATTTTCTTACAAAGCTCATAGAATCATAGAATGTTCGGGGTTGGAAGGGATCTCTAGAGATCATCTAGTCCAACCGCCCTGCCAGAGCAGGATCCCCTGGGGCAGCCACACAGGAACGTGTCCAGGCAGGGTTTGAAAGTCTCCAGAGAAGGAGACTCCACACCCTCTCTGGGCAGCCTGGGCCAGGGCTCTGTCACCCTCACAGTAAAGAAATTTCTCCTCATGTAGAGGTGGAACTTCATACGTTCTAATTTAAACCCATTATTTCTTGTTGTAATACTGGGCACCACTGAGAAGAGATTGTCCCCTTCCTCTTGACACCCACCCCTCAGGTATTTATACACTTTAATAAGGTCCCTTCTCAGCCATCTCCTTTCAAGGCTGAACAGCCCCAGTTCTCTCAGTCTCTCTTCACAGGAGAGATGTTCAAGGCCCTTAATCATCCTTGCAGCTCTCCACTGGACTCTCTCTGGTAGGTCCCTG